GTTGTCGTTACAATCGTCCTATGTATGTCTTCAGCCCTCAGCCATCAGTCAGTCAGTCAGTCAGTCTGTCTAGTGATGCTTTTGCCTGTCAGTCGTCCATTCGTATGTTTGTACCCTCCAATGGCGTGCTGGAGAGCAGGGAAGAAAGCCATGCACAGAACATGGCTGCGAGTGGGGTGGTTTGGCAATGGACGGGCACTGATGTGCACCGGTGCCAGTCGGTGTGATGTGTGGAACTGACTGAACACACCCATATGGTGGTCGCTGAAAGCTGATAGATACTCTCACAGTGACGCATCGCTTCACGGCAACAAGAAGCTGTACAGACACGTGAGTGCGCCAAACACACACACACACACACACAAAAGAAGGCCGGCCGAAAAAAGGCCGATGGGCACAATGACGCGGCCTGCTCACTCCCATCACACACAACAAACAAATCGGCACCCACCCGTCCCACTCAGTTAACCACCGCACCCCACCACCCCCCATTCAGTCTTTCACGATTTGCCTCTGAAGACGTACTGGTGTATAGTCATCTTCTGCGGCAGGACGCCCCGCATCCGGCCAATCTCCGCAAACACGTCCTCGTGCAGGAACTGCTTCGAGTGCTTCTCGTACTTGCGGCTCAGCTTCTGGTGGTACTCCCGTCTCTGGCTCTTGTGCCTCTCGCTGATGGCCTTGGCCCGCTCCCTCTGCTCCCGCTTCCTCTCGAACTCGTTGACGATGCTGTCGAGGCAGAAGTAGTCCGCGAAGGCCAGCAGCTCATCCTGCCGCTCGTCGCTCATCTTCGGCAAATTCTTGTAGTAGGCAAAAAAGTCCAGAGCGTCGATCAGCCACCGCTGGCAGGGCAAGGTGAGGGAGCCGCGCAGGCCCTCGTCTGTGCCGAAGAGGTGCTTGTGGAGAGGGGAACGCTCATGCGGGGAGAAGATACTGCACACACACGCCACACACGAGCGCCTATCCATCCGACAACAGGAGAGTCTTCTCACCTCACCCAAAGTGCAGTCAGTACCTGCGCTGTACCCTCTTGGTTCCGTCTTCACACAAAATGTCCACCTCGCCCTCCCTCAGCGGCCGGTCGCTGTCGTCACCGAGCGGCTCGGTAGTGTTGACGGGATCCACTGCAGCCTCGCTGCCCTTGCGTCGCGGCTTGTCGTCTCTTTTGGATGGCTGGAAGGGCACGACCTTGCCAGCCATCCAGCCCCTTCCCTGGTAGTTCCTCCGCTGAGGAGACGCTTTGTCGCCGTCCTGTTCGGCCTCTTCCTCTTCCTCCTCTTCCTCCGCTGAGGAGTAGGCCAGGCTGAGGATCTTGCGCTTCATCTCCTCGTCCATCGTCATAGCCGTAGCCGGAGGCGTCGACACCACGAAGCAGGGCAGGTCACCACGTGCGCCGACAGGCCAAGAGCAGCGCGAAGGCTTTGTCAAGCCACCACTAATAAAAAGACAGGTGTCCTCAATCTCCACATAGTATACAGCAGCCCCCTGGCAGCACACTCCCCTTCTCTGAACCAATAAGCTCGCAATTTGCTCGGACCGCTCCTGACCTTGCCGACGTCACCGATGCACGGGAGGCTCTTTGCTGAGGCGTGTGAAGTGTTGAAATCTGGTCGAGGACATCTCCTTCCCGGCTGATCGAGTGAGGGTCGAATTGATGGTTTTCTCGAACCTGGCAAATTCGTTTTGCGATTTCATTTAACGAATGCCTCCCCAGGTCAGACACACACTGACTCGTGAAGAAAGAGCGGGAAAAGGCGAAGATTCGGCGAGAGACCTCAGTGCGAGCTAAGGCCTTAGCTCGCATCAGTCGCGAGAACGAGATCTGGCTTCCGATGCACCGGCATGGAGCAGAACAGCATCACAGTGCACCAGGGTTGCTGTATGTGCTGTTTGGGCTCGCCGCCATGTGCTGCTGTCAAGGAGTCAGTGAGCAGGAGCAGTGCCTCGCGTTCAGACCTGTGGAGACCCTCGCGGCCTTCAGGACTCCCCGTGTGGTCTTCCAGGCGGCCGCCTCGCCCCTCTCCTTCCCGCGGGTGCTGTCCATTGTGGACGGGGAGTGCTATCTGTGCCACATACGTGAGTATCGGCGGATGGAGATGATCTTGGCTGCGGAGATGCCCTACGTGCGCGTCATCCGGGTGGACTCGCACCTGGTGTCCCAGGTTATGCGACTCAAATGGTTGGTATGGGAGGGACTGGTGTTGGATGTGGGAGGTGGCGCTGGTTGGTTTGTTCTCACTGGTTGGTTTGTGTGTGCACCGCACCCAGGGGCATCACAATGTTTCCGTTGCTGGTTCTCGTCTACGAAGGCCGCGTGCACAAACTGGCACCCGACTACCCGTAAGCGAGATAGATCGAAGGAAGGGACGGAGGGCTCACTGCGCCATCCATCCATCCCTGCCTGTCTGTCTGTCTGTCTGGCTCTAACTCTCAGCATTGACCCATCAACAGTCGTGGGCTTCGTTTCAAAGATCACAGGTGACTGGAGGCCAACGCCACTGGCATGGCAAACACTCACATGTATGCCTTGCTTTGCCTTGCCTGCCATTGCAGGGATGGCGCCGCACAACACGACTCACATATGGAGGGGCTGGGACGACATGGTGCCGCCACCCGACTGGGAAGACGCCGACAGCCCCGAATCGCCCGTCGGGAGGCGTAGTGGTAGGGGTGGGAATGGCATGTCGCATATTTCGCTGCAGCTGTGGCGGCTGGTGAGCGGGGTGCCGGTCAACTATGTGATGATGGTCTGGGGCAGCGTGGCCGTGGTGCTCAAGTGTGTGTGGAAGAGCCAGAGGCCTTCAGAGGCCGTCAATGCCTGAATGCGCGTGTGCGCCTTGGGTGGGTGGAATTCGGGGTGTGTCGTGTGTCGAGGTTTGCAGGCACAAGTACAGTACAGTGCGCATGCGTGTGTGTGTATAGATGGTATGAGGTGTTTATATGATACTAGCGCGAGCCCGCGCTTCGCGCGGGGAGCGCAGAGAGAGAGAGAGAGAGAGAGAGAGAGAGACCGTCGACTTTGATGAGACCGTGCGACTTCAGAACAGCATGGATACAGATGGACAGGCATATTTTGCCAGTGTCTGCCGGTCGAGCCGCGTCCGCAACTTCATCGTTGTCCTCACACACACACACACACACACACACACAGAGAGAGAGAGAGACACTGAGAGTAAGGTCAAAGGAGACAGGGATGTCTGTCGTGTCTCGCAATCAAACGAAGCACAGGAGACGGACACGTCGGAAATGGATGTCCAGATAGACGACAGTCAGTCAATTTGGTTCGTCGGCATCCTGAATGATGGCCTCTATCGAGAGATGCGGCACCAATGTGGGTATTTCATCGTCATTCTCGGAGTGGCAAGAACACCGTGTTATTCGCCTCGCAGCCTGCTCTTGTATGTTGTCGATAATGTACAGCTGCGCAAATTTTCGCGGATCGTTTGGATTTATCGGCATCAATCCACCCATTCGATGGTACACCTCTCCATGGATTGTGAGCATCGCGGGAGGAATGCTGTTGCCGTACCGCTGCCGCACCTCTGACGTTGGGTCGTAGATCTTGGCGCCTGTCGACGCAAACTGAAATATGCAATTGTACATCCGCAACAACGCTATAAAATGGTTGGTTTGCTGATGTTGTCCGAGATACAGTTCACGCAGTGGGGTCGGCAGGTCTTCATCTTGCAGCGGAGGCAATTGAACCGTGCCTTTGCGACAGCAGAAGCTGCTAATGATGTGACCGTCTTTGCGCTCACACTCGTCATCGAACAGCTGAGCGCCACAGTAGACATACTGACTGCTCATTGTCCCTGCATTGTGCTGCTCGATCAAGGACTCGTCGAAGTTGTCAATAGGGATGCGGAACGACCGCAAAGTGGCTGTCCTCTGGGCCGCATTCCTGGCTCGTCGTGTTGCATTGACTTGATCAGCAGCCACTCTGTGACGGGCCCGTCGTCTTGCATCTGTCCCCTGTGCCGCTCGCTCTGAAGCGTTGGCCGCATAGCTGGCTCGTCGTGTTGCATTGCGTTGATCAGCAGCCACTCTGTCACGGGCTCGTCGTCTTGCATTTCGTTCGGTGGCCTCCATATGATGGCTCGCTCTTCTGCGAGTGTTGCGCTGGTCTTGCGCAAGGGGGCGACCACCTCTAAAGCAACACACACACACACACACAAACACAAACACAAACGCACACACAAAAACACAGCATTGTGATACTTGTGATTGCCTTTTTCAATGGCTCTTGCCTGGCAACTTCATTTGCTGTGCTCGACGGTGTTTCATTGGACACGTTCGAGCTAGCCGAAGCCTGCGAGTTTGCCGATCAGCAAAGGAAACGCTCCCCTCATTGTCGTCTAGCGCGATAAAAATGCAATTGTAAAAATGCGGTCCAATCCAGGTGACGTCAGGAGCTCCTTTTGGTGGGTTTGCGGCTCTCAGGACAGGCGTCAAGGAGCTCTATGTGCAAAGCTGTTGCTGTCGTTTTCACCCGGCTCAGCCTGACGACACAGCTCAGCTAGCCGTCAGGGGCTGCTCTTTCGAGTTTTTCTCGCTCTAGACGACTGAGGAGGAGCCCGTTGTGCAACGCTGTTCACAGGAGGACTCTCTTCGTGTGGGCGAGGGTGTGGGGGCGGAAAGGGAGGGAATTGGGAGGGAAGACAGGGATTTACAAGATCGGTAAAGTGCTCGCTAACCGCGGACGACCACGACCACGATTGTCCTATTTAGAATAGATTTTGTGTGTCGCTCGGGGCGCATTCGGTCACGGGCGGTGAGTGCAGTGGGACGAGACGAGAAATGCACGTGCAGAAAAGATGCGATGAGGACCTTTAGTGGATGCTCTCGTGTGTCACTCACTCACTGGTCGGTACACACACACTCACACTCGATCAGCAAGAGGAAGACGAATAAAATCAAATCAGCACACACGTCATTCCATCCATCCAAACTCCTATGCCATGAAAGCGGCCGTCTTGTGATGTGATGCCCCCCTCCACCCCTCGGACGGACATGTTTTGAAATGGCCATCTATCTATCTAGTTTGTATATATAAAGCCCTAGCCTAGCTGTTGTGTCAGGCACGCAGCAGTACGCGCCCACACGGGTGCTCCCAACCAACCAACCAACCAACCAACCAACCAGCCAGTCAGTCAGTCAGCCACATATGTATATGTACATATATGTATGCAAATACACTCACTCACACACATGCACACACGCATAAACCTAGGCACCCATCTCCCTAAGGCAGGCATGCAGGCAGGCAGGCAGGCACAGAACAGCAGCTATCGAATCAGTCCCCACGGCCGTCTGTCTGTCTGTCTGCCTGTCTGTCTGTCTGTCTGTGTGTCTGTTGTCGGAGTCATGTGCGTGGGAAAGGCAAAAACGACACACCGATATCGCATCCCGGCTGGCAGATACACAAGTCATTCACTCACTCACACACTCACTCAAGACTCGATGCAGCTCGCTCACGTCCCAGATGCATACAACAGACATACACCAAGAGAATGAAATGCCTGTGTGTGTGTGTGTGTGTCAGTTGTTCTCCCGCACACCCGCGTCGGCACATACACACACAAGCGATAAAGGAATGAGTGAGTGATGCATGGGTGTGTGTCAGTTCTTGAACAGTCCCTTGGCCATTCTCTTCTCCAGCTCGACGTTCCGCCCGGTGCTGCGGCCGGTGCTGCGGGTGGACGCGGCAAAGGCCACCACGCCGCCCCCCTGGGCCTTGGACAGAACAAACGCCACACACTTGATGGCCTGATCGATCACATCACACACACACACACAACTCATGGATGGATGGGCGACACAGTCCATCGTGTGCTGTCCCCTCTCACCTTCTCTTTGCTGTCGCGTGAGAGGGCGATCGTCTCGTCGCCCGCCAGCAGGGCCTTCAGGCGCTGAAACGAACTCAGCTGCGGCAGGTCACGTCAACAAGAAACAGATCACAGCGAGAATGGGGGATGGTGCGGCCGGTACCTGTACGATGCGGTTGGCGACGGTGTTAGCGGTCGTCTGCGTCGTGAGCTTCTGCTCTTCGCCATACCTGCCAGAACACAGACAGACAGACAAAGAGGGGTGTCTGTCTTCGCCGATGTTCCTCGGCCGTGGGGTTACTCACTTGGCGAGCAGTGTAAGTATATCGGCGATGCACTCGGTGACGCCGGGTTCGCCTTTGACATGCACCTTGCCCACAGCCATGTCCAGCAGCAGCTGGCACATGACACCAGGCAGCTCCTCATAACTCGACACCTGTGTCCCACACACACACACACACACACGCAGAGAGACAATCACACACACACACACGCATTTGTGTGTCCGTTGTGTGCATTGCATGGTCGAACTTCACCCGTTTGTCGTTTTCGAGCAGCTGATTGAGGAGCCCGACGCTGGGGCGGATGAGCGAGCCCTGGGTGAAGAAGCTCGGGTACCTGCTGCAGTGTGCCACACAGAACCGACAGACACACACACTTGGCCTGATCGACGTGTGTTGCCTGTGTGTGTGTGTGTATCTGTGTGTATGTGTATGTGTGTGTTCCCTCACAAGAGTAGCCGCTCTCTCTCCACGCGGGTGCCGACGCCCTCCTCGTCACGCAGCAGCTTCAACACCACCGGCACAAAGCCGGCATCGATGATCTCGCCGATGTAGTGTCCTCGGCCTGAGCGGCCACACACTTCCAGAACATCCTGTGAGGCTGTGTTAGTCACGTGTGTGCGTGCGTTGATATACCTGCGGAGTTGCGAAGTAGGCTGCTGACGACAACGGTGACGTCGAGGTAGCCGAAGCCGATGCTCTGCGGCCGCAAGGCGGAGGCGATGGCCTTGAGTGTGGCGCCGTCGGCCATCACATGCCCGTACAACACATCCAGTACTGCACACACGCAGCCACACACGACAGGTACATCCAGACAGCTGTGGAGGTGCGTGTGCATCGATCTCTCTCTCTCTCCCGGGATCCCTCACTTTTGGGCACTCTGTCAGGGAACATGTCGTCGTAGCTCCAGTCGAGCATGTAGAAAACCGTGCCCAGCAGGAGCCCAGCCGCGTACTTTGTGAACGTGTCGGCCGCGGGGTGATTGGCCGCCTTGACGAGGCGCTCGGCGTGAGGGACCATGTGCGTCTCCACCGCATCAATCGATGGACAGTGAGTCAGGCTCGGCTCGGCGCTGCGCGCCTCGCCTTCGCAATCAAAAGGGGTCACTGGAGGAATCTCTGTCTGTCTTGAATCGTAATGGAGAGAGAAGGTCGGGCGAATGACCTTGACCGAGACCATCAACACACAGCACAGCACAGCATTGTGCGTGGGGCCATGCATGTGTGTGCATATTCGCGGCTCGCTTACTGTCCCAGGCGGTGTTGGAGAGGAGCTGGTTGACCATCTGGTTGATGCCCTTGCACCTCTGGTCGGCAGGACCCTCCCCATCGAGTGCCAGGTCGATAGTGTCGCCGAGCAGCCGCATCTACACATCTGGGGCCAGGTACGAAGAGAACATGTTGTCAGACGAGTAATAGTCGCACAGAAACGACACCGCGGCCTCGGCCAGACCGTCAGCCGTAGACTTCATGGCAGCCTTGGCACGGGCGATCATGTCTGGATGGCCGGTCAGCAGCACGTCGCGATAGTGCTTTGTGTTGCCCTTGCGGAACCCACCGGGCCCAAAGCTGCCGTTGGTGCGGTTTCCAAACCGGATGGCTGCACTCAGGAGGCTGAAGACCGCTGTGCTGAGATGGCAATCCTCGCTGCTGATCTGCTCAAGAGAAGCGAACAGCTGCTTGGCCTCGGCCGGCCTCCACGCAAAGGCGAAGCCCAGCTGCACGAGAGAGGTGAGGGCAGATGCGGCGAGGTGGTGGATCTCCATTTGCTGTGTCGGGTCGGCCAGCAACTCAACGAGCCGGTCACGAAGGGCCATACGATGCATGCCATCCTTGCCTTCGAGTTCCTTGACGGCCTCACGCGTGGCAGGATAGCCAGCCCCGTCATCAGCGGCCGCGAGGGACTTGAGCAGCATAGCGAGGCGCTTGAGGTGCGGGGCAGCCGCTTGAGGTGCCTCGGCAGTGACAAAGGCACGTACCGCCTCCACCAGATCGGGACGCCGCGAAGTCATAGCGGGAGGATGCAGGGAGTGCGACGCAGGGAGTGGGAATTTGGCTGTTGAGCTTGTTAAGGGATGCTGCAGATGTCTGAGCTGCCTCGAGCTGCCCAAGCGCACGGGCGGAATGAAATGTGCGAGATGAAGCGAGCGATCTACGAGACACCCCACGCAATTTCATCAGCAGCAGTCTCAGATGCATCATAGGAGTCCCTGCACCATCTGATGCCGATGCCAAAGCATTGGGACGAAGATATGTGCTGCCTGGTCAACCCAACCAACGAAGGAGTGAAAGCTTCACGGATGCGCAACAAGAAATTACACAGCATAGTAGTATACTGTATCTGTGTGCGTGTTCTTCTCTTTGTCTCATATGTATTTGCAATTTTCCCGCGTCCGAAATGCATGTCTCGTTTCCCTGATGAGGAAGGGCACGTGTTTGCCTCTGTGTTCAAACGGATCCATCCACTCTGATCTCATCTATCCATCCACACTCAGGCAGACGCATGCGCTGCGTCTGTCCATCAATAGCCCCGCCAGACATATACCTGCCCCCAGCACTACCTCACTCACTTACTCACTGATGCGTGTCTCACTGGCAGTCGGACTGCGATAGCTCCCAGCGCGCAAAGTGCCTGCCACAGACAGACAGACACACAAACGCACACACACGCAGAGAGGAGCAATTAATCAGTCAGGAGTAGCCATGCGCCTCTCCATATTTCTCTTTGTGTGCACCTGAGTTGGCTGCTAGCGGGCCTCAGATATATACGGATGCAACCGCGGGTAGCAGTTCGGCGAGGCGGTCGATCTTCTTGTGTGCGATGACCATCGTCAGCGGAAACCGGTCCAACCCATAGCAGTAACGTTGCGCCTCCTCCGTGGTGGCCAGGCGGATGTGTATTGATGAGCTGTAGTTGACTATCAGGACGTGCGCTGCGATTGCATCGGCCTCCTTGTCACCGCACAAAATCACCAGACGATGTGAGATGCGGGCAATACCAATGTAGTCGATGGTGCGGCAATCAAACAGGGGCGGCGACCGGTCCATGAGGGCAAGGAGACGATCATGCGCCATACGGCGCCTCTCGTGTGACTCGTCTGACTCGTCTGGCTCTCCGTCGACAGACAAGCGACGCGTGAACTCGCTTGTCACGAATCGCGCGTTCTTGACCAGCCTGAAGCGAAAATAGAGACGCGGCAGCCACGCTGCTCTTTTGTTGTCCCACTCGACTTGAAAGAAATGTGCGTACTCTGCGATGATCAGTGCTCGAAGGCTGCAATAGACATTGTCCCCAGACAGATCACTGGGGTCTGCAGACAGAGACACCAACACGAATCAGTTCAATCTGTGTTGGTTGATGCGCTACTCTTACATTTGCACACGGGGTCGGTGGCATCGAATCTGTCTTTAAAGGGACAGTCGCCCGGCACCGTCTGCCGTGTGTATACCGTCACACAACGCCCGCCCAGCATTTCCATGCCGTCGACTCCTCGCGTCAGTTCCATCCCCTCGCCCAGCCGGTGACTGTACAAGGAGTACTGGCGCAGAACCTCCAAGCGGTTGAGAAACAGATGCTTGTCGGCAGTCACCTTGAGCACATCAGCGGCCGTCACCATGAGAGGGAGAGACTGCAGTCGACCACTGCTCCTGGCCATATTGAGAATGACCGCATTCTCTGCTCACCGCCGCCCGCCCTTGACCAAGACCCACCACACCCGCATCAGATACTGTCCTCGGCTAATTGTCGGCTGCTGCCCCGCCTCTCCCCGAGGCTGCCGCGTGTCGTTATGCTTCTCGTAGGTAAGCAGTCTGTGGATGCCGTGTCGCCGCAGGAGCCCGTCGATGCGCCGCTCAATGCTGTTGGCGACGGCGTCGCTGAGGACGAGCGTGCGCATGTGGGTGGCAGAGAACAGAGATGCGCAGCCCTCTCCCCCGAGCAATTTTCTCAACTCATTCGCCAGCACGGGGAGCTCGTAAGGCCCCAGCTGACCAATGCGCGCGAGAAGGGAGAAATGCGGCTCTGCGGGCTCTGAAGAACAGGCACTTGCAGTGGCCTGAAGGATGGATAGCAAAGACAAGAGGGGCATTGTTTCTCGAGAACGGCTCTGCCACAGACAATTCATCGAGTGGCCGTGCGGCATAATGATTGTCTCTTTATTCACCTGTGCACGTATGTGAGTCCCAGGGCCGGAATGTGGCGAATTGGCCATCGTGGAGCACCGACGGATTCTCGCCGTGTTTGAAGGCAAGAGGCCACACAGACGGGTCCCTGGGAAAGGTGGATATGCAGATGCTTGATCGGTTCCTGGTCCCCGGCCTGCAGCGGGAGAAACGGCAAGGCCAATTTTTGCGAGCTTGGCAATGCGAGCTTTGCAAAAATCAGGGAGCGTAGCAACAGCACAGCAGGTCGATGAGGATGCATCCATCCCTTGAGGAATAGAAAGCAATCGCGGAGGTAAGCAGAAATGACACTGGTGTGGTGGTCCTCTGCATCCCAAAGGACATCATTTCCCTGTGTTGTTATCAGTTGCTGCAGCACCTGCCTGTGCTGTTATCAGTTGTTGGACGAACAGGCGCAATGTTCCGCTCTGCGGCGGCGCAGGAACGGGAGGCACTGTGAAGCGGGGGGACAGTCAGGCATCGCACGCCATGGCGACTTGCAAAGTGAGACCAAAAAGGGACTACCCAACGCCATCTGACAGAGCGCTTTGACCTGGGTGCGTGGTGTGTGCTGCATCTTCTGCAGGGCCAGTCGTCATCTGCGTCTGGGGAAGGAGTCCCTAAGATTTTCAGCGCCCTGCCGCCCGGCATGCGAGCGCAGAGCCTCAGACAGACCCTGGGAGTGTCGCTGCCCTACCCAACCATCCCTTCCGACACCGCTGATACGAAGCGTGGAGCACAGCCGGGATCATCATCATCGGCATCAGCAGCGTCGGCATCGCACCCACCCCCACCACCTCCCCCTCCCCATCCCTCCTACTCTCAGTACAACGATCTCACCATGTTCATCCTGGCACAGCAACAGCAGCAGCCTGACGAGCCGCCCAAGAAGCGGCAGCGGCCGGCCATGGAAGGGGCTGGCGAGGGGGAGGGGGCGGAGGGCAAGGAGAGACCCGCGGGAATCGAGAGGAAAGACGAAGGGTCTCCTTTCTCGATGTTGCAGGTGGGTGGGATGAGTCACGCGCTTACACGTACCTACGTACATGTACAAACCTCCACACACTGCTGTTGTTGCTGCTGTGTATATGTGTGTGTGTGTAGCAAGCCAGCATGGAGATGTTAGCTAGCTTGGGCTATGCCGGTGGGCCCTGGGCCTCACTCGTGGGCATGGACAAAGGGGCTGCCGCCGCCGCCTATCAGCAGCTCCTCCTCCTCGCTCAGGAAGACCCCGACGCAGCGGCACTGCAGCTCTCTCACGGTCGTGCCACAGGTGAGTCAGGTCAAGTCAGAACACCACAGCATGCACATTCATGCCCTCTTGCTCTCTCCTTGCCTGTGTGTGCAGGCGCAGATATGTCCATGCCCCCCAAGGAGCGTCCGGCCTCGACCGAGCGCCGCAAGTACTTCACGGGTGCGTTCAGTCCGAGCCAGGGTGTGTCGTGGGACCGCGACCGCAAGGTGTGGGTCGCCCAGTGGAAGGCCACTGACGGGTCGCGGCAGAAGCGGGCCTTTGACCCCCGCCAGTACGGCTTCGATGGGGCCAAGCAAAAGGCCCTGGCAGCCCGCATGCGGGCCGAGGCGGACGGGCAGGTATCCGTCCCTCAGAAGGCGGAGTTCACCTGTGACAGGCGGGGAGTCCACTACGACAAGGGTATGTACGTGGGTGGTTTGGATGGATGGATGGGGGAATGCTTGTCTGTCTGTCTGTGTGTGTGTGTGTTCATGCCTCATGCAGATAAGGGGTGTTGGACGGCGACGTGGTTCGAGAAGGGCAAGCGTCGGTCGAAGCGATTCTCGTGCCGCAAGCTGGGCCACGACGAGGCCAAGAAGCAGGCCATGGAGCACCGGACAGCTATGGAGCAGCAGCACTACACATTCCACAACGAATCTGACAACACCAGCACAGACACCAACGCACCCGCCCCCGCACCCGCCCCTGCCCTCAGTCTGCAAGCCTACCAGTACCAAGAGCAGCAGATCCAGCGCCAGCAGGGGCCACAGCAGCAGTGAGTGAGACATACCGCGGGTGTGTGGTGTGTAGATATTATGGCTTCTGGCTGGCTGCTGGGG